CAGTACTAGGTGGCAGGAGACGTACATTTGTGGGGAGAGACCTCTTGTGGTTGCTTGGGGTGATCACTTACAACAGAGGTTCCCAACCACCAGGCCACGGCCCGGTACCAAGCCGCAAAGGGTTGGCTGCCAGGCCATGGCACTAACCCTGCTCCTGTAGATCCCCCGCAGTGAGAGGGGGGCGGGGAGTGGGACTGCTGGGGCTGGAGCAGGCGTGGATGCAGCTTGTCTGGGAGGTCCGGGCAGCTCCTGCCATTGCATAAACCTGGGAGGGCATGGGGGGAGTGCACGGTCCTGGATTTGCGTGGGTTGGGCTGGGGCCAGGACAGCGCTGGGCTGTTTCTGGGTAGACCGCAGGACAGAGCTGTGGCTCATCCGGGATGTGCAGGCGGCTTCTGCTGCTGTGCACCACCCATTCAGCACTTACTCATTCATACGGCAGCTCCCATTGCTTGTCTGGGAGGGCATGGGGGAGGCGTATGCCCCCAGATCTGTGTGGGGCAGAGTGAGCTGGGCTAGGGCTGCACTCTAGGCAGGCGGTGGTGGTACTGGGAGCAGGGGCTACAGTGAATTTTTGGGTGGCTGCAGCTTCCTGATAGCCCTCGCTCCCAGCACCATCACTGCCCACCAGGAATGCAGCCTAGTGCAGCCCTGGCTGTGTCCAGCTTTTAAGTCTGGTGTGGTATGAGGGGAGGGAGGCCACGGTTCATTTGGGGCAGCGTGGGTGGCTTCTGCTGCTGCATGCACTCCGGGAGGGCATGGGTGGGGGGCGGCGCATGCCTCCAGGTCTGCATGAGGCAGGGTGGGCTGGGGCAGGCAGCTTGGCAGCGCCTGCTCCGTGCAGGGGCCCAGCAGCAAGTACCTGCAGGGCTGCGCAGCGCAGCTTGAGAGCTGCTTTGCATGGTGTGGGTTGGGGAACTCAGTGCTGGGACTGCCAGGGGAAGGAGCTGCCCTGGTGGTACGCAAGCCTGGGCTGCAGCTGCTGAGGAGGGAGGAAGCCCCTGCAAGGAGCCTGGGAATTTTCAGGAGCCACCCCTCACCTGTGCACAGCTCAGTCTGGTGCCCTGTCATGGCTGGGCAGCCCTTGACCCAGCCTCACTCTCTCCCCCACCACTGGGACCTCGATCTATGTCCCCTCATGCCCCATCCTACCACAAGAGACTTACAAGGCAGACCCAGCTGCTCTCTCAACCCCTGCAATGTAAAAAAAATAATTTAAATATGTAAATTATACTGTTTTTGTACCCGGTCCACCAAAATTCTTTGAGTGAGTTTGTGGTCCACAGTGTAAAAAGGTTGGGAACCCCTAACTTACAAGACTGGGTACAGAGTGTTAGAATGTCCTAAATGTGTTGCACCTTAAATTCAGAAGCTTAGAGAGAGAGGTGAGAACAGGTGTTTGCCTAGATCCATTGGCTTGGATCATTAATCAACTTTTTTCCGTTATAGCCCTGATGCAGACTTTAAAACTATGACAAGCAAGTGGCCGGCTGTGTGGGTGAAGATAACTTCAAGCTGGGTCTGCCTCCTCCTTTATGTTTGGACACTAGTGGCTCCTCTTGTCCTTAAGAATCGAGACTTCAGTTAAATGATTTGAGTTTGTCCAAGATTGTGGAAGTGTGCGAGCCTCCTTTGAAAGCCAAAAGGTTGTGCAATTGCTTCAGTTATTTTCTGAAACTAAGGCATATACTACCTTTCTTCCCCCCCTGTTGAAATTACCTGCCAGTGGTTAGAAACCTGATCGATCACATAATGCTTGATGCATGATCTAAGCTATATTAACGTTGATATGTTTTTATTTAACCTGCTGCCTAAGTAAAATTTGCTTACTATCACATTTTAAAAAACCTACAACAGCTGTGCTGTTAAAGCATGGAAGGAAAAAAAACTATACTATCCAATAGCCCCAGTAGAAAATATTGAAGAAGAATAATGTTTGCTAAACCCCAAGTAATATATTTTAAAGAACAAGTTCTATTCACTGCACTGCACTGGTGTATTAATGGTCCACATGGAAGCATAAGCCATATTGGACAGTTGTTTCTACATTCCACTGCAAATGTTTCTGTTTTTCTGTTTCTGGGTAAAAGCTTATGCATTCACTGCAAGGAAGACAGTGTTGAAGTTGGGTAGCTGTTAATTGCAGGTCCTGCTTATTCCAGGAGAAACTTTTAGATTGCTTGTTTGTAAGAGGCAAATTTTATGGACACTGCTTCTTGATTTAGCAAGTTTGCCAAATATTCTCTCTCTTGCTGATGGGCATATGTGATTGTTTGTTTGAAAAAAACAAAACAAAAACAAAACCCCCAAAAAACCTTAAAATGAAGATCATGCTTCAAAAATAACAAAGCTCATTTCTTCCGCTTATTTGTATGACATGCTTGTAAGCAGTAGTGCACACAGCTATCAATATTGGCATCTAAGACATTTGCACTGTAAACTCATTTGAATAAAATACTGATTTTTAATTGTACAGAGCCTTTCTTGAACTCTGTTCCTGGCACATGCAGGAAGCAAAGAACATTTTTGTGATTCAAAATGCCACAGGATGTAAAAGGATGGTTAATATAGCAGCCGGGGTGGTTCTGCAGATCCAACAGGATGTGTATATGCTTCAAAGTATGTTAATAGATAAAGCAATGTGTCATGCAGTTTAAAAGACAGTCTGGTCTGACATGCTAATATATATTCATTCTAATCCTGTTTGAGTCATATTGCAGCATTTCATGAAATTAACTTGTATGTTGAATCAGAGACCAGCAAAGCAACCTGAGTTACTTCACCTTGTAGACTTTTATACTGCTCCACTAACAATTTCATAGCATGAAGTTTGAGGAAACATAGTGGTGAAATGTGAAATATCCAGACTTTCATCTTATCCTTGCTATTCTTATAGCTGTTAGTTTGGAACCATGTTCAAGTGAGAATTCAGTCCTGCCATCACATCCTTAAGTTTTTCTTAGCATTTATGTTTCTTCTTAAAGTCATGAATTGGCCTTCCTGGTTATGATATCAAACAATGAGTTACCTTGCACATGCACAATTCTTTGTTAGTGCTGTTGGTGAGGAAAGAAGAGTGTCCTATTGACTAATAAGAAAAGCTGACATCAAGAACCAAAATACCTTGTTGAGTGAATGGGTACTTAAGTCACGTCTGTAATGCTTCACATCTGATTCCCTTCATTTTCCTCCCACCCTGGCTGCTCAGGAAAAAGCCATTTGTGGCCTTTGACTGTCAGAGACTGCGTCACCCTCACTAACCAGCTTTCACAGGGCTCAGCCAAGTAATTTCTGTGCTATGCCTGCTGCAGAGCCACTTCTAAGAACAAGGTGATATCACTATGCAATTCCTGGTGTGTCATGTCTGCTCTGGAAGATCACCATCTCTGAGGCATCAGGGTGGAGAACTGTTAAGCTAACAATATTACTAAGCCCCTCATACAAAACTGGAACAGGTTTCTCCTCATCAAAGACCAAGAAAGCCCAAGGAACAGCAGTTGAAGAAGTGAGAAATGGTGGCTGATGGTTCTCTTTCTAATGAGAGAACAACACCATGTTCTGTGTTCAGAGACTCTCTTCATAAATATCCCAGCTGCTCTGACTCTGGGTTGTGTAGAAATCCCAGGGCATGAAGGTGGAGTAAGTGAGGGGGAAGTATCTGGTTCCTGAGGGGACTTTGGAGTGATTCTGGGTCATCTGTGTATACATTATGGTAGTCCAGTGACTTGCTGGAATGTAACTTGTATGAGGCTGGGTGGCTGGCCTGCTGTTCATCACATGTGCTGAAAAGGACAGTGAACTGCTCTTAATCTGCCCTGGCTCTAGCCTGTGTCCTCTCCTCCAGCTTGGATGACTAGTAGGGCCTTCAGCATAGCTCCCAGGATCACTGAGCACAAAGGCCTCCCTTGTGCCCCCTGCCAGTTAAAGAGCAAAATGTGGATAAAGCCATTTCAAATATTGACCATAAATACTGATGGACTCTTCACAGCTTCTTCAGGAGGATCAGGGCCAGAGGAAGAGCAGGAGGTGTTCAAAGTGGTTTTGGGTACTTTATACTAACGTACATATTTGCATTGTGTGGAGCTGGAAGCCAGCATGAGGTAGCAGCATTATAAGTCCTAGTTCCCAATTAACAGACAGGTTAAAAAAGACCCTTTTGCCTGGGCCTGAAAGCTCAGGAGTAAGATAAGCCCCAAGTTGGGGTTGTTTCAGTTGCTGCTGAAAGAACTGTTCCCTCTGCTCTTTCATGTAGACATAGAGATGCTTCTAGACTTGCCTTGTTTACTCCAGTGCTGCAACCACCTCATGCCACCGCACTCTTGACTTCATGTACAACTGCTAACTCTCTAGACTAGGTGCTGGATAAGTTAGCAGAGCCTATATCTGATCATGCAAAGGAGGCAGAAAACCAGTCCAGTGGCAGGGAATCTGACACAGAGCTCCTGAAGTCCCCACCATCACATCTGGATGTCCCAGGTGGAGCCGCAGAGCTATGATCCTGAATTCCTTCCCTCAACAAATTAGGGAGTCACACTTTCTGTGATGGTGGAAAGCCACATCCAGATGAGCCACTCTCCCTTTAGGACACAGAGGACAATCTCCCACCACTCACTTATGCCATCTTTCCCTGAAGAAAAATTATTGACATTTTTCAAAGTGGGGATGAGGGCACAGGCCATGTGGGGCTGGTGTCTGATGACTCAGTTTTTAGTCTGTGAAAAGGAAGTTGCAATTTTGAGCTTTCCACACTGATTGGGGGTGAAAAACACAAACCTGATGACTTTTTTCCCAAAATGGAAGTTTTGTTTTTCACCAGTTCTACGTAGCACAAAACTACACAGATTCCAACAAAAACTGTGCGTCTCTCCAGTGTCTGTCTTCTGCATTCTAGAGTGTTTGTTTAGGAACTGAATCAATCTTTTCTCCTATGGATTCCAAGTTCTCTTCCCTAAGCTGTCTCTATCTTAGGTTTCTTTTCCAAATCATAAAGCCTTCTCGCCATGACAGTGGATTTAGAATTTCAAAATTTCCATTTTCAACTTGGCACTGAGGAAGAGTCTTGAAATTAACAGCAGCTCACAGTGATTTACACAACTTAAAATGTAAAGCTTACATTTGTATTTGAAAAGGAATCTGAAACAAATGAGTTTCTGGTGGCACCTTAAGAAGTATGTTTGTGATGTTTATTAAAACTAATCTGAAAAGGGGTGTGGCAAATGCACACAAGATATATCAAACTAGAAGTTGTTACAGTAGAATTTTTAATATCCAGTCATGCATAATAAAATGACACATTTAACCACTCCATTTTATAAAATGCAATATAAAAATAAACATTTTTTTCCAATTAACAGATGTACACCTAGCCCAACACTTTTAGGCCTGCTTACAACAAAAGGCAAAATAATTATTAGCTTGACCAATTTTGTAGATGACAAACCTATGCCAAGAAACTGATGAAAGGATTTAACAGAAGACACATACCCCCAACCATTCCCTGGAGACCTCAGGGTTCATAACTCCCATTTGCAAGAATATAAATTCAAGTAGTTTTATTTACAGTATACAATTAACCTTTGTCTTAATGCCACATGAGATAGTTAAGGTTGCCCATGGTAGTTTGAACACCTTTCTCCAAGTTATTTGCCCAAACTGGATTAAAACTGCTTGTGTAATGCAAGCTTTTCATCAACTGGCCTCCCACAGAATTCAAGTCTAATTAAAACAAACAATGTGAGATTAATTTTAATACTGCAAAGGAGATTCTTCAGTACTCTTGCTCCCTATCTCCATTAGAGATGTCGACATGAGAGATGAAGTGCAGATTTGTTGTCAAATAACACCCAACGTTTTGCTTTTTGGTACCATCACCTCTGGCAAAAAGGCTACTGGCCTGCTAGCTCAACCTTTTGCTTCCTACATGGGAAATAGGTCTCAGGGCCATCTCATACAGCTTTGTACACTCTTGCAGATACACTTTCTATAGGAAAGCAGGTAAAGTACCTACCACAGAGAGAGAGAATTAGGAAAGGCAAGAGATGATGGTAATGAAGGAAGTATTATGTCTCATCTGTTTATGCTCTACTGAAGTGGTCATAGCAAACCCATAATTTGAATCTTAAAAGATATATATTTAGGGAATAACCAATTCCTATATCCAGTGCATCTCTCTAGATCAGTCCAAAACAGCCAGTTCTAGGAACAAAAGTTCCTTAGGTGGGTAACAGGCAAGTGAGGTGACCACAAGTATTTTAACTGAGAGGGATTAAAGCCAAAACAAAACAGTCCATTTCTTTTTCTCCCAGCAGGAAAGTTCTGTTTGATGAAGTCACAACTAAAATACAGTCTTGTTACCTTTTACAAGGCATGAAAAAAAGAGGGCATAGGCATGGATTCCTCATGGGTGGTTGGGTTGCCTGGTTTCCTTACAGGTGGCTTTTCACCAAACTAACCCATCGTTTTTAAGAAAGGATTCGAGTTTCTCATGCAGAGCTTCTTTCCTCAATGGCCTGAGGCCTAAGTGGTGCTAAAGACCTCCTCTAGAAAGGGAAATCTGTCAAAATAACACCATGAACAAGGAACAGAACTTGTCACATGACCAATTTAAGGACATACTGTACACCCTGGAAATTTTTTTTGAGTGGTGGATCAGAGGCGAATGAAAGGCACTCAAATCATGCAAATTCCTCATTCCATTTTCTGGCAGTTTAACAGCTAGGATTTAAAGCACCAATATTTCATTCTGATATTTTGCCGAGTTGGAGAGCTGGACTAACCTCTTCAACAAGACCAAGCAGCTTGTAGGTAGGGCAGAATGCAGAAGTCAAATACTACACTGCCGATTTGAGAGGAAAACACTGCTCAGAAATGGAGGCAGATACTAGCCCACACGGCATTTCTGCTTGTTTTTCAAGAGTTGCAGGCTTGCAAGATTAAGGCTGATGACAGGAATAAACTTTTCCCACCTAACAAGATTATCTGCTTCATGATATTTTCCCCAAAGAAAAGGTATGGGCGGTGATGGAAGAGGCAGGAGAAAAATCTCATACTTAAAACGCGAAAGGAAGAAAGAAGAGCTTTATTCCTTTCACCATAGATTCTCAACAAACCCCAGGCTCCTACATGATGATAGAGGTGGCCTGGTAATGCTTCTGCTGAGGTGGAAGGATGCCAAATTCATGGTCCCACCAAAGCTGCAAGATACCAGCTGGAAAAAGCCTTCTATTTTGTTCCCTCCAAAATCTAGTTCCTATCTCATATTGCTTTATAAAGAGAGCTGGCATTTCCCTCAGCTCTATAGTAAACTCTGCTTGTGCCAGGTAAGGGTGCCATGACACCCTTCATCCATTCCTTCCCCCAAAACATTCTGGCAACACAAAGCCATGTTGTGCTGCAACCTAGGAAAAAAAGACAGACAATCAAAACAAGTGCAGTTTGGCACACTGAGAAAAAGACGTCCCAACCCTATGAGACCTCATACTTCACATTTACATCAAGACAACTGATCCCTTTTTCACCCTTGGCACTAGGTAAAATCCCTCTCCCTTCCTCCCCACTCCCTCCCACCAAAATATTCCAGCCATTAAAAAGTGCAATGAAAATGAGGTGTTCAGTTACAATCAATGCTCTTGTCCAGTGAAATACCCTTTAAATGGCTGGGTGTGCTTTCCATATCCTGTGAGGTTTCACTTGTGCACTGTTTTGATTGTGCACAACATCATGTGCAAAGAGAATGTGCTCCAAGTTAATTTACAGTTCAATACAATGACGAAGAAGGAACAAGAGGAGTCAGGAACAGCATACTCAGACAGGACACCTTGACCTCATTCAACAGGCCCAACTTCAGTGTAAGAATCTAAAGCACAGGACCACAAAGCTTATGGTTAAGGATCACAAAAGTGATCTCATAAGAACCTGCTAGCCAAAAAGAAATAGGGTTGAAATCAAAATGGCAATACAATTATTCAAACCAGGACAAAGCCATACAGAGAACAAAACCATACTTTACAATAAAGCTGAGAATGTGCTTTTAAGATACGCTGTCTGCATTTGGTTTGCAAAGATTTGGATTTAAACATTCTACCCAGAGTAATGCATCTAAAGCAGCACCTTGCTTTCTCATTCTTTATATTGCCTTCTATACTTCAATGTTGACTGCTACAAAATCTTCCCACAGGTTTTACTGAAGAACAACTTTGGACGTCCTTTTAGAAGTAAGGCAGGGCATTAACACAATTAGGTGAAGGAAATAGCAACTGTGTGACACATGCTTAATGCAAGTGAGTGATCTCAGTCCCTCTCATTTGGTCCTGGATTGCTGTCAATATTCAAAGTTGCATCCACTTGAAAACAATGCTATTTGATATAAGATCTGAAAGGCTCTTGGCTCTCTGCAAGTGGAATTTGCATGCAACTATAGTCTGCTTTGGAACAAGTTACCACATTTTTCTGAAGTCAGAGTAAAATTCTCCTTTCAAATCCACTGGGCAGAACTTGGTACATCTAGGAAAACCTGCACACGCAGTATTGGAGAGAAGCGCCAATACTGTGGAGTCCACAGATCTGAGAGAAGAACCTTATTCTAACATGCAGAAAGAAGCATTGATACACCTGCTTGATCCTGATATGCTAGCACACAGACAGGATCAAGCATTTGACATTTCTGACAACCTCCACTGACAGAGCTACACTTTGCAGAGGGCAAAGGCAAAGCTATACTTTTTGCTAGTTTGGAGCCAAATATTTTCTGCCCTTTTCCCCCCCCGCCATGAGAGGTTATTAGGTTCACACAAGCATGAGTTATTTGTGTCTTGTTATTAGGAGGAATGCACCAGACTGCATCACTCACACTGGGGTTAACAAATCTACAACACTTCAAGTAGCTTGGGAATGATGTGCCCTGTTGCTTATTCTCAGTAAACTATGCCTTGCCCCTATTTACCCACGTCTGCTTGCTTTGGTTCCAGTGTAAAGTGCCTCTGCAGCTTATTCATGAACTACAGGTTTAGGAATCAGGCAGAATTCAGAATTACTACTTTTTTTCTCAGAACATGAGAGGGTATGTAGCTTTTGACAGTTCTAGGAAGCTTCCTTCAGCTGTGTCAGTAACAGTAATAGAGCTGAGGTTTCATACCTCGCAGAGACTCATCACACTGCTTCTCATCAGCATCCCCGCTCACCAGTGTCTCACAGGGTAAGCTGTTACCTGGGAGAACCAGCTGAGAGAAGTCATGCAGCAAATCCTCTTCTGAGGCCAGCAGCAACTCATTCCAGGCAGAAATGTCCAATTTCCCTGAAGTGCCTCCATACTCTTCAGGAAGGATCATTTGGGGAATGTTTTGATGTAAAGAATTCAAGTCAGAGCCATGGAGAAAAAACTGAGGAAGATATTTAAAAACTAGATGTGAATTGCACAATTTTTCAGCTTGTTAATGATGCCCTTTTTAAAGCTGCAGTTAGCTCAGTAGGGAAAACAGCAAAAACCCGTCTCTCTATTTAGCAAAAAGAACATTTTGAAATAGAGGCCTCTGCTTATAGGACTCCTGCCAATTTCACTGACCATAAATAGGATACAACATTGAGCAAACAAGGTTAGAAATCAGTTTGATCCCCTTTGTAAGTCTGGCCTTATGGAGAATGAACTCAGTAAAGCCTGGTCACAATAATTAGTGTGCTTTGTTATCCTGCTGGGTTGCAAGGTCAGTTTGAGTCTAAAATCATTCACAAGGCTAGGAGGACAGAGTCAACAGCTCTCAACTCCCTCTGCAAATAAAGCACAGGAATCAACCAACTCTAGGTGAATTTCTTGCTACTTGTCTGGCAAGAATGTTGCCACCACAACATTTTGAAAAGGAAAGGGAAAATAAGGGGTGAGGGGGAAAAATGATGACTCAGAAGATGTCCTGTTGTTAGCTGAATAATGCCAACTCAGAGGGCATACTATAACAGAGCCACCTTAGAGGGGCCCTGAGTACATGCAAACAAGCACACCCAAAATAGACAGCTTAAGATTAGTGTTGGGCACATGCTCAGAGCTATTCTAGGGCAGCTGCATTGTCACATTTCTAGGATTTGGTGCACAGGGAATGAGAGCGAGGGGATAGAATGCACTAATGGCAACAAGCACTAACACAAAGACATCTCCTTACTGCCTTCAGGACATAGCACGGGCATGTAACAAAGAAAATCCCTCTCCCCCATTCTCTTTCAGTGCTGCAAGGAATCCTGCTGAGTATTCTCTCTAATACTGAGCTAGTTTAAAATACAAAGCATGACACCATTGACAGGCAATGAGTGATGACACCAGTTTGATCTTTTTCAACATTCTTTACATTCAGTAGCCACAAAGAGCTTAAGTTCAACAGTGAGAGACGCATGTACACTTACCCTGTTTGCTATCTTTTCCTTCAGAAAGGGCTTGATGATAGCAAAAATGCCTTTGAATATGCGAGGTTCATTTATGATATTGACAGCTTTTATTCTAATTGGAAAACCATCCTAAGGGGCAGAAAAGATTTTTTACAATATAGTTTAGAGATACTTGGCTGTACAGTGCACAAGACTTCCTGTCCACCCCAGCCACCAGTTCAAGCCTTACCTGAAGAATTCCAATCACTTTCTTGGCTACAAAAGGACCAAAGTGAGATGCTTTAGATAAGCTGACTCCTTTGTAGTCTGCAAGGATTACAATTCCATTCACTTGGGTCTCTTCGGACTGAATGAGTTTTTCTAATGTTAAGTATATGGCACGAATGTTCTCAGTAATCGGATAATGACTGGGTATCCATCTGTCTAAGGTTACAAGACACTGATGGTGAGTTGGAAAGTACATGTAAACCAAGACACATTTCAAAAATAATTTGTATACATTTCCAGGTCTCTTAAAACAGTTTTCTAATAACCACAGTGCTAGTTTACAACAGCCTCTCTCAAGTCAGCTGACAGACAAGCAACTCCGGTTTACTTCGAGCAAAGCCAATAATCTTAAGAACCCCCTACTTCACCCCTACTTTCTCTTTTGTACTGGAAGAGAAATAGGACAAAAACAAGTTCACAGCAAATCTTGCAGCACCAGGAACATATTAATGATGGTTAGACTGGAGTAAAGGTTAGAGACTCCTCTCTCCACTTACAACTCCCAACTTGTTGTCACAGGAAGTGATACATGTTAAGGTGGAGAAGAGCAGGACTATCACTATCTCAGCCTGACTGACTGCATGTTCATATTCCTTCCTGAGCCACAAAGTATTTGCATTCATCCACCTCACTGTATTATTTGGTTTAACTCAACTGCTGCTATTGCCAACAGGAAAATAAATTATGTAAACGGGAAATGAAAAAAAAGTCCCCTTTCAGAAATTAACATTTCAAATGTTGTAAGAAAAAGCTGTGTAATCTGCAAGGAAAACCACTGTCCACAAGCGTGACAGTGATGCTGATGCATTAAAAAACATTTCAAAGACATACAAAATCTTAATTCTAACTAGTTCATTCATGCACTTCAATACCTGGACGAATGCAGACAATATGGCGTCCCTCAGGATCTAAGTGAGGCAGTACAGTGACAAAGCCAGATTCTAGAACAGCCTTTATTGCAGATGGCTTCAAGTTAGTGAAGACCTCAGGCCAACTCCTCCTACAGGTGTGGTAGTTCACCAGAAGCTGAAGAGCTCGATCGTAATCAAATTTCCTGGCTCTAAGGAACCTGAGCAAGAAAGCATCGTCCAAACAGGTGCCCAGTGTCGGATAGTCCTTACACACCATGTCTCGGAGGGCTTGTACATCACGGAGCCTCCATTCAGGTTTCTCTTGGAGCTCTTCCCGAGCCTTGGCAACAAGGTCAGGAGACAGCATGCACACATACCGAGGCCGATCTGGGAGAAACTCATTATCTGATGGAGACCCCACGGACGGGCTTGTTTTGGTACAATCACTGTCCCCTGACATTAGTTAGCAGGACGTCTGTCAAAAAACAAAATGCCGCACATGACAAGCCATCCCACACCCCCCCCCGTTTATAAACGTGGCATTATTGTAATTGAAGACGTGAAGGGAACTAGGACATAGAGAAGGTAAATCGCTTAACAACACCCACAGGACTTGGTGGCAGGGGGACAGTAACTCTTGGATCCTAATTCTGGCTCTTTCAGGCTTAGATTTGTAGATCATTTATTTATGCTAGTTTGGGGTGGAAAACAATCTTCTCAGAAGAATCATAGAGAAGTAGGGCTGGAAGGGACCTCCAGAAGTCATCTAGTCCAGTGGTTCTCAACCTTTTTTGTACCAGGACCCATTTGTAAACTTTGAGTGCTCCTCACTCCCAACCCGCTGACCCCCGCCCCCCAGTGTGGGGCAGGGGCGCCCCAAGCAGCCCTTCACAGACTGGAGCTCTGCCAGCCCGCAAGGGAAAAGCCACAATTTCCCACGTTTGTCTCCTTTAAACGGAGAATCCATTTTTAATGTTTGTCTGCAACCCTTTCATATATGCTTGTGACCCACTTTTAGGTCGTGAACCACGGGTTGAGAAACACTGCTCAAGTCCGACTCTCTGCCAGAGGGGGAACCATCTCTATCCAAACCATCCCATATGATCCGTAATCTAAACCCTACATAAGACAACTCCGGCCTAACACCTTAACCCACCACAGGTAAAGCAGGGGAACCACGGCGGCTTTTGCTGATAAGAAAGTTTAGGATAGAACAATGTGAGGAGGGCTTTATTAATTTTTTGATTTTTAGTAGGCACGGAAATGAGTTTGCATCAGAACTCAGCGCCTGAAACCCTTAGGGCCTCTCGCAACACAGCTGAAGTCGTAGACAAACAACGCCTCCCTACGAAACTCTAGCGGGGGCTGGCTGCAGGTTTCAATCACTCCCACCCCTCGATCCAGCAAATGCTTCGGGACCCGCCACGCTCCGAAATGCGCCGCTTGAAGAGGCTGCGAGCTCCTGCGGCGCAGGCTGGAGCCGCGAGGCAGATGCAAGAAGCCGGGACCCAGGTGCTGCCCGTCCCGGGCACCTCCAAGGCGCCCCGCGGGGAGCAGGGCCTGGCAGGCCCCTCGCTGACGGGCAAGGAGACCCGGCGCGGGGCATGCGGGTCAGGCCAGTCGCACGGAGGCCGCGGGGTCTCGGCCGCTTCGCCCCGCGGAAGCCCAACCCGCCCCCGGCTCTGCGCCGCCTCCCGCAGCCCCCCGCCCCG